TTATACGTCGTTTGTCAAAAAAGTATATGGAAAAATAAAAATCAAGTTTAAGTCATTTTACTCGACTTTACGTCTGTCCGCCACAAATATTGAATTCGTAATATCACTAGAAAAACGTTTAAAGCACATAAAATCATATTAAAATATATACATTATCAAGTATGTACTGTATTTACAGTACCTGCATTCGTAAATTTAGATTACTTTTTTCTGTACTATATTAAAAACTAAAATTTATTTGTTTGTAAGCTTAAAATAAATCCTTATTAACCATATATTATTAAAAATGCATTAATAAATAAAATACAGAACCGGGAATGGTAATTTATGGTTTAGCCTAGTGACAAGTAGATTCGGAGACAAGTAAATTCGACTTACGTTGCCTCTCCTGGAGCCAATTACCGACGTAAGGCGAGGTATACCTGTATTTAAAAAAAGTGCAAATGCTAATAACGAGTAATATTTATTAATTAATTAAGTCCGACCCTACTCTTGATTTGACACGCGGCCTCTTCTATCTCCCCAATCCCTCGATCTTTAATCACCAAAATTTAATAGCATCAATTCTCCTAATAAACAAACCTCCCTGCAAAATTTCAGAAATTTTCGATAAAAGGGATAGGAGTTATTAAGTTAAGCTCCAAATTGAGTGAACAAAACAATGTGTCCCCTCACACACTAACATCCATCCATACAGAAAAACCCCTCGAAGTTTTTTGCATTTCTCGACGTTTCAAGGTTCCCCGAATCCAAAATGTAAAAATCTTAGGGGTCATTTTTCGACCAATCACCATACTTTCCCTCTGTTATAAATAGCAGCCTGGATAGTAAAAGCAGTAATTATTGTAATTTAAAAAATGGCATTCTTTATTCGAGTGAAATAAAACTTGAAATAACTAAAATGCATTCCTCGACCGACACTGATTACTGTATTTATAATAAAGGCCACTATCATTGTTGAATGTATTAAGGTAAGCGGTGCATATCTTATGCATATGCAAACAGGGCATTCGCCTAGCCCTGTAATTCAAAAGATTCTCTGGTTTCAAATTGTAAATATTTAAAAACTTAAAATTAAAAGAAATATATAAAATAACGCGTTGGCATGATAATTAATTTCTTCGTAATACATTCTATGATATAAAAAATATAGTATTTTGCCTAGGGCTGAGATTTAACATCATATAACCTTAAAACTACTGGTTATCTTAAGAATTCTGCCGAAAAAAACTTAATTGAAAATGTACCGCGGCTTCGAAGAGGTTAGGAATACAGTATAATATACACTGTTATACAGTATAATAATCATTGTGTTACGCTAATACAGCTTTCGTTCTTCGGGAATTTTATATTTTGACAAATACAACCGTAGAATTGGTCATTTTTGAAACATTTCTCCCCTCTGTACCAAGAAGGGATACCAAGATCTTTTTATTCGTGGTCATCGCACCACCATCCACGCGTAAAAAGGCACTCGGGATGGCGAGATAAGGAACTTCGACGTATCCGGGTGAAATCATCGATAAAACTTCCTTAAAATCCGACCCGGACACGAACCCGGATCATTCAGATCGGCAGACACCCGCTATCTTGAATTATTACTACCATTTTTTTAGTTGTGTGTTTGACAATTTATTTGACAAAATTTATGCTAATCAAATTAAAATTTAAATATATGCATTTTTTTATGTGTGTGTGTGCCCCTTTACCGCTCATAGAACACAAAAGGCCAAATGCATTATTTATTACATAGATGCATTATTTTTTAAAACAAGGAGTTCATAACAATGGGGGACATTTTAGTAGTAAGTTAATAAGTGTTTATATTAGAATTTTACAGCAATTTGGTTATATATATTAAAGGTTATTTTTGAAATATGACGTATAATTTTGAATATTTATATATGGTTAAATATATCATAAACCATTTTTTAAAAATCTATTTCATAAGAAGAATATTCGAATAAATTAACGTCAAGCGTGATCGAATCTTCATAAGGATTACTTTCAAATTCCTTCCAGTTTAGTCAGTTAATAAAATGCCAAATCCTGAATTATTTTTTTTCAACTCATCCTTTAAAGATCCGGGATAATTTTCTGAGAATTCTATTTTAAATATTTCTTCTTGTTCTCGTGAAATCCCCTCTTGCCGGTGGATCTTTAATTATAATTAATTAATTTTTCTTTATGAAGAAATTCTCAAATCCTAAAAATAATAATAATAATAATTCCATGTCCGTACATTTCTTAAGATTTTATTTACACTTTTAATTGTGTACAGTACATTTTTCATGTTAAAAACAATGGGTCATATTTAATGTCCTTTCGGGGCATTATCTCATGTTATGATATAAATAAATAAATAAATAAATTTATTAAAAAAACTAAATTTCTTTGAGTTCAAAAGGTTAACGGGAGTCGATCCTCGATCCCCTTTAACATTTGATGTGAAATATCGTTATTGTGATTTATTTCGTAGAAAATATTGACTAATCATTTACCTGTCTTCTTTTTTTTAAGCTCCATTTTCATTTGTGATTATTAAAAACACAATTAAAACGAATGCTACGAGTTTAACAAGAAGTAACTTAGGAAACCAGTTTTTCTTGGGAAGAAATGTAAAGGTCATTTGATCAAAGGGAAATACCATCCTTTAGACAAGTCAATTCTTTACATTACTATATGAAAATTTATTAAAATTTCCTTTGAAAAATTTACCAAAATGAAATTTCATTTAATTCTTATCTGTCTGCTATCATCAAAAGAAATTTCGGGAATCGAAGGTAAGTATTTCTTAATCTTAGTAATTAATCGTATATATAAATATATAGTTTTTTTCGAAATAATTATGTAATATTTATAAATATTTTCACGATACGTATAGAATTACGCAATTTTATTCTCTACGGAATACTAAATAAAGTGGAACTTGTAATTTATTTATGATAATAATAAATGATTCAACAAATAAAATTTGCCAATAGATATTTTAAATGAAATTTTTAAATTAAATTTAAACTACATTATTATTATCATCATCATCATCATCATCATTATTATTATTATTATTATTAAATAATTATGTTTGACTACAAGAGATCAGTTCTAATTGATGATAGTGCCATCATCATCATCTCCATCACAATTATTTTTATTTCATTATTAGTTTCAACTGATCTTCCTACTTCTGTGAATTTCCTAATAAACATTTTAAGAATAAATAAATAAATAAAATCTAAATTTTGATGAAATTGTGTAGCTAAATTTATAAATATTGTGGCTATTCATCAAATTTTCTTTATAGTTTTTAGATTTGGCCTACAGCCACTAAATTAAAAAAAAAACATTTAAAGTTATTTCTTTGCATTGTGTAATAAGGGTAATGTACTCTATACAACTCTTGTTTGCATTTTTTTTTCTTTCCTTCTTCAAAAGTTATGAAGAATTCTTTCAGAAGACAGAATATAATTAACAATCTCGGCATAAATATCAATATTATAACTATAATTAAATTGTATAATACTTTTATTACAATACTTTATCATCATTAAATGTATTGCTCAAGATTTTGAAATTTTTCTTGAGAAATTTTTTAAAATATTGGACAACCCCCATGGCTGACCTTGTAATATTTAAGTAAGATTTTTTCCCGTTATGGTTATAGCCTGAGTGAGATTCTGAGGTTATAACCACAAGAGGTTCTATACTTGACGAGATATTGAAGAATTTTAAGCAGTATTATATATAGAAATTTGTATTATTTAATATATTTAATTAGTTTTTGTTGTCTTGGGGGCACAAGAGTCTATTAAATTAAACTGCACATAACATATTATATTTTAAGTAGGCCTATGTGTATTAATTATTATAAAGAAAAATCCTAATTATTTATTGTGACGTCGTCACAGTGCAGAGCCTCAATTTTTAATCATATTTTAACTTAAAAATTAATCGAGGCCTCCGGGCCCTAAGCTTTTCATATCCGGTCTCGATTTTCATCGGACTCCTTTCTCGAGTAACGAAGGACAGACAGATAGACGGAGGACGGTGGAAATTTATAGTCCTGCAATTTGAAAATTAAACCTCATTGGGTTACCTTTATCTTGAAATTATTACAATTAATTTCAAATTAATTTTGATTAAATTTTATTTATTTCTGAATTCTTATTGCATTTTCTTACATTTTTAGAGCCAAAATAACTCAAAAAAATATTTTTAACTCATCAAAAAATTTGCTGTTTTAATCATTTAGATGCGTATTTTGTGTGTGTTTTCTCTTCAAATACTTATAAAATTGATTTAATCGTGTTATTTAGAAACTGTATTTTTATTTTTGTACAAATACTTTGCGTGTGGAATTAATAAATGTACATAAACAAGCTAAATTTAGTGTTAAACATGAATATATAATAATAAAATTTATGAAAAAGTTGGCTTTGTTTCCATTTATCGAGTAAGTAGTAGTGTTATTTTATAAATATCTAAAGATACAGTAGGCCTAATCGTAGAATCTACCCACAATTATTATTATTATTATTTCATTTTTAGTGAATTTTCCCGAAGAAACAAAGCGTTGCCACGAAAAACTCGGAGAAAAAGGCATTTGCATCGAATTTGGAAAGTGTTCGATTGCAAAAGAACTCATAAAACAAAGGAAAATCCCTGTGCCTTGTGGATTCTCGGGAATAGTACCATTGGTATGTTGCGCAATTTCTTCACTTCCCGGGCAACTCGTCAGAGGTGAATAAAACTTCCAAATATATAATAATTATTATTAAATTCAATATCTGACTTACATCAATTACAACGTCCTGCAAAGTTGCATGCAATTTTGCAAGGTGTTGTAATGATCCGAGTAGAGCCGCATTTACCTGTATTACAAATGCGTGATAATTTGTTTTATAAATTTTGCTTTGTTTTAGAATCCGAATGTGGAATAAAACACCTGGAGGAAGAAGAAAGAAATTCGGGAATTTCTTTTCCTTCAACGGAATCGTCCGAATATGGCGATTCCATAATACAGCCAAGAAAATTAAACAGAACTCTTGAAAATAAACATGAATTTCAACAGGGAAATTTTCCTTGGATAGTTAGTTTATTATTATTATGTTGGGTTCAGTGGGTTTTACTCGGTTAAACCGGTGGCTGTGTACTATGCCGGACCAGAGTCAAGGCATAGCAACCAAAACAAAACTAAAATTAAATAAGTGTGTCAGTGTCAGTGTCAGTGTCAGTGTCAGTATNTACCTGTATTACAAATGCGTGATAATTTGTTTTATAAATTTTGCTTTGTTTTAGAATCCGAATGTGGAATAAAACACCTGGAGGAAGAAGAAAGAAATTCGGGAATTTCTTTTCCTTCAACGGAATCGTCCGAATATGGCGATTCCATAATACAGCCAAGAAAATTAAACAGAACTCTTGAAAATAAACATGAATTTCAACAGGGAAATTTTCCTTGGATAGTTAGTTTATTATTATTATTATTACTTTAATATAAAACAATTTAGTTAATAATAAAATGCTCCAAACAGGTTTCAGTCATTAGAAAGAACGATTCAGCAGTTATTTGTCTTGGTTTTCTCATAGACGAATTCCGAATCATAACTGCTGCTCATTGTTACTCGGAGGCAAGGTAAAAAATATATATATATTCAAATAAATATAATGATATTTATATATGGACTTATATCTTCGTTACAATTTTTGGTTTAGTACAGCAGAGCATTACAGCATGTACATTTTGAAAAATGGAAGTAGGAAGTGGTACGAAATTGATGAAGTGAGAATCTACGAAGAGTTTAATGGCTACTACGACGATATTGCAATATTAAAATCATCGTCTGCAATATCCGAAATCCCGATTTGCTTACCAAAGACGATAAACGAGATTAATTTAATAGGAAGGGCTGCAGTTTTTATAGGTTGGCTGAATGGTGACGATGACGATGGTATGTTTTCTTAATCCGGCAGGGCCGTGGAAAGGCGGAGGCAGAGAGGGCACGTGCCCAGGGAGTCAAGATGATGGGGAGCCAAAATTCCAAAATCGTTACGTGGGGGCAACTAATAAATTCATAGAAAATTGTCTCGTTCGAGCATGAAAAATTATAGTATGAAATGAAATATTTTAAAATTAGTAACAGGCTAAGTTTACCCTGCTCTAGCCACGGCCTTGTACTCGTGTAATTTAGTTCTATCATACCAAAACTTAAATTTATTTAAATTTAAGTATTGGTAATACACTAATGGAGATTATCTCGTCAAAGCTTTAGTTATTAATTTAAGGGAGAAGGTGGTATTATGGAACCCCTCCATTTCAAACTGATAATAAAGGCGAACTATAGCGGATTGTGGCTGAACTGCACTAGGCAGACATCCATAGCAAGGGGAAAACCCGTTTCACTTCAGTTAAACGGTTGTCCATAGTGAATCAGCAAATTTGTGTTTTTCAAAATTCGAAAGTTCTGAATGCTAAGTGAATTTAATTATTTGTAAAATATAAATCGTGTAGTTGTAGGTTTACTGGTGCATGTATTCCGTTCCAGAGACTTAGGAGTACATATTAATCTGTGTGATGTTCACGTTTTTTAAAATTTGGTCTGGACAGACATAAGTTAATTCAAGATGGCGATGCGTGAAATACGAACCCCATTGGTGCTTTTAATATAAAACCCGTCTAACTTTTGTAAAAGTATGTGGTAGATGAATGAAAAAATAGAAGGAAAATGAAAAAAGTAAAAATAGATATCTAACACTATAGGAGCATTATATTTGTAATTTTTGTAAATGATTAGCTTCTTCTTTGCACATTTCTTTATTATTATTATTATTGTGTTGGGTTTAGTGGGTAATACTCGGCTTAAACCAGTGGCTGTGTACTATGCCGGACTAGAGTCAAGGCAAAGCAACCAAAACAAATTAAATAAGTGTGTCAGTGTCTGTATTCAGGAATTTCCTAACAATGTGGCATGTATTCAATATAGTGGCCTTCTGTAGTGTTATGTATGTATTTCTACTCAATTCTAATGTTCCCAGGCTTTTGTGTAGCGTGTGTGGTATCACACCTGTACAGGAGAGAACAACAGGTACAATAAGCACCCTATCCATCCTCCACAGATGCCTGATTTCCTGGGCGAGTTCTGTGTACTTGCTAATTTTTTCAGTGCATGTGTTTTGTACATTGTGAGTGTTTGGAATGGCTATGTCTATAATGTATGTGATTTTATTGTGTTTGTCAATGAGTGTGATGTCTGGTCTGTTGTGGTAAATTGTTTTATCTGTGATTATGGCTCTGTCGTAATACATTTTGTGCGTGTTATTTTCCAATACTGTCTGTGGAATATACTTGTAGTATGGTTCGTGGATGTCTGCCAATTTGTGTTTCTTTGCAAGCTCTTGGTGTATTATATTTGCTACTTGATTGTGTCTATGTAAGTAATCTGTCTGTGCCAAGAGCTTGCAACCAGAAGTGATGTGTTGTATAGTTTCTGGCATGATGTGACATTTTCTGCATGTGTCATTTGTGAGTGTTGTATCTTTGAGTATGTGTTTTCTGTAGTTTTTAGTATTTATGACCTGATCCTGTATGGCAATCATGAATCCTTCCGTCTCCCCAAAGAGGCATCCCCGATCTAACCAGCTGTTTGACGCAGTTTTGTCAACAAAATCCTGGGCCAGGTCGTAAGGATGCCTGCCATGGAGAGCCTTTTGAGCCCATGATTGCTTAATGTTGTCTATGCTTTTTATATGTTGTGTCATGTCTGTATGTTGTGAGTGTAAGTTTAATGGTGTGTTATTTGAGTCTGCTAGAGTTACTGCTTTATGTAACTGTGATGTTTCTTGTTTCTTGTAGAAAAACTCTCGCAGTGACTGTATTTGTTTGTAGTGAAGGTTAACTATGTCAATCAGGCCACGTCCGCCTTCTTTACGTGGAAGGGTTAATCTTTCTGTGGCGGATTTAGGATGATGTTGTTTATGCTTAGTAAGTGTTGTTCTTGTTTTCCTTTGGAGTTGCTCGAGATCTGTGTGAGTCCAATGTATAACTCCAAAAGAGTATGTGAGTACTGGGATGACATATGTGTTTATTGCTTTAACTGTGTGTTTTGCATTTAACTGTGTTCTAAGTATAGCGTTTAACCTACTTTGGTATTCTTTAATTAATCGTTGCTTTATTTGTGTATGTTCTGTTAGTTTGGCCTGTTGGAATCCTAAGTACTTGTAGAACTCGCCCTCTTCCATGGATTCAATAACGTCTCCATTTCCAAGTGCAAAATCTTCTTTCTTCAGGATTCCTTTTTCTATGTGAAGTTTTTTGCATTTGTCTAGGCCAAACTCCATTTGTATGTCCTTAGTGTATGAATGTGTGATTTGTAGGAGTTGATGAAGTTGTTTTTGTGTGGATGCATAAAGTTTTATGTCGTCCATGTACATGAGATGTGAGAGTGTAAACTGTGTTGTTTTTTCGTGTCTGATATTGTAGCCGTATTGCGTGTTGTTTAACATGTTGGATAATGGATTCAGGGCTAGGCAGAACCAGAGAGGACTCAAGGAATCTCCTTGAAAAATTCCTCGCCTAATGAATATTTCGTTTGTTTGTATGGAAGTGTTACTAACCCTGAGATGTAGTGTTGTTCTCCAGTGCTGCATAGTGTTTTCGAAGAATGCAATGAGTGATGGATGTATTTTGTACATGTGTAGAATATGTAGCAGCCAACTGTGTGGAACACTGTCGAATGCTTTATTATTATTATTATTATCATTATTATTATTATTAAATCATTTTTGCGATAAAATACATTAGCGTAAATAATTTTGTAATTATTTAATATTCTTTGTACTTTCCTATTTGTTTTTGGATACATTAAAGCATTTTTTGAAAACACATTAAGGTTTCATATTACCACCCGGTTTTTCCCTAAGCCTACTTTCTGACTTTTTGTACAGAAGCCTTCAAAAACCATACTTATAGTTACACTAGCGAAAAATCCAATTAGGAACATCTAGTTAATAGTTACCAGTACTTTTTGCACAAAAAATGTGGGTGTAGTTATGATACCTTGTTTACAATTCACTATAATGAAAATGGGGTTCCATAATACCACCTTCTCCTCTATATTTAAATTTGAACTTTGAAATCCTACAATTTAGAAATTTTGAAACATCAAATCTAGTAGCATGTTACTGTCCAAGAATTTTTAATAACTATTAAACTAATCCAGTAAATATATTAAATAAGTCATATATTGCATCAAAAATATAAATTCTTAAAGAAAATTATGGGATTTTTCACGTTACAGCTTCAAAACCCTTAATGCCAATGTGGATGAATACTAATTATTGAACAAAATGTATTTACCTATACATTTTTGAATATAATTTCAGTTCACTAAAACGACTGCTTCTAGACAGTCATAAAGCTTCCTAATTTTTAGAAATCAAGATACTATAACCTGAGAAAGTCATGTATATAGCGTAAAATTAAACCCCTTCCGTCGATTATTATAATATTGAAGTATCTGTTATTGGTATCATTACATTATTAATTTACCCCTCCGGGATTTGCGTGGCGGTAAAGAAGTGATTTTATTTTAATAAATTTACTTAATTTACATAAATTATTTCGTATGCCAAGTTTCCTCCAATCGAAATTTGCTTCTAGTGAACAATTGCTTTTCATTGCATGTTTTAGATTACACTAATTTACAATTTATTACTGAATAATCAACTGTTTCCAAAATTCAGAAATCAGTTGTATGACTTATTGAATGGATAAAGGTTGGTTCGCACTGGCAGAAAATATCGCATCACCATAAAATTACATAATGTTGATCTATAGCAAGGATTTACATTGTAGCAGTGGCGTGCTGTCATTGGAAGTGTGGATGCGCCGCTTCCCTTTATATATTTATTTTCTAAAAAATAAATACATATTAATTTTAATTATATGAAAATAATCGCATAATATTTTATTATAACCGCATTATGTATCTTATTACAAATTTCTATACTACACGTGAAAAAAAGATAAGATTGCTATTGTATATTCGAATATTAGTGGCGGAGTGGAAGCGCTGTATTGTCAGTATCCAAAAAGCCAGATTCGCGCACGCGCTTTACAGAGCACCAACCTCGCCCGGTTTAGCCGGTGGAAGCCTAGGACCTCGGGTGGATGCTACACGTATACCGCATCCAATTCTATCCAGGGCCGGTTCCGGGCTGTTAGTCGCCTGCCCGCTAGATATTTGGCCGCCCTCGCCCAATCACGCGAATCACGAGTAGATTTATAACTTAACCCAATCGATAAGAATTTACTGGTATGTTTTTATGATAGTTCTGTATAGTTGACAGGAGTTTTAAAAAGCCGTTAAAATATTTGATATATTTATTCCGCTCTCCGATTTTATATTACTCACAGATTTCAATGTTAAACCAATGATATTACGATTTCGTACATCCCATCTTTAAGGTTATGTAGAAAAAAACGTGTACGATTCTTGTATAATGTTAAAAAACTAACTGTTACTTTCTTAGCATAATTTACAACTAAATTTATCGAACGAGAGCGATGCACGAGGTACAGAAAAAGCTCTAGAATTTATTTTCCTTAAATTTACAATTTATGTGTCCGTTTGTCATAAAAATTTGTCTTTCCACTTTTCCCGGGAGTACAAATATTCGAGTACAAAGTAACTGATTTTGACTTATTTCTACTTAAGAAGTAGTTAAATAATTAAGCGATTAGGGAATTGGGGACATAAACAAAACCCTGACGAAAGAGCCGGAATATTACTTAAACAAAAGCTTAACTGAACCAATTTATACCCGAGTACAGTGGGGATTGATTTCTTCGAAATACTGTATTAGATGTAATAAAGACAGAAATTTTTCCAGTTCAACGAGAGTGACCGAAAAGTTGTAAATTTTGGAAATTTCCGTGGACACCTGGTCCTAA